CCCCCCTGCAGGCGCCGCTCTCTGCTTCCATAGCACCGCCCCCCTCCCTATAAGTGCAAGAAGAAATCCGCGCAAACGCCTGGAGCGAAATAATTTGGCTTTTCGAGTTTGTTATTCTTCAATTTGTGGCTCTGATGAGGCCACAACCGCCCGTACTTGTCATGCTACACAGACCGCGGGCCGTCTGTGCCAATGTGCTACGTGACGTGGTTGGTTCGACTTACCTTCATGGCGTTTTATTCCCCAATCTCCTTAGAAATCTCTTCTTTTTTGTGGGATTTTTTTTTACCTCCGCACTCAAATATGTGTGTACTCTACGCTTCGGCACGTCGCTCACCATCGCTCCACCAAGGCGCCTATCGAGTGTGAACAGAACAGCCCTCCTCCTCGCCTTCATCCTCCTCGTCGTCGACCTCCTTGTCCTCCTCGTGCTCGTCGTCGTCCTCCCACCCCTCCTCCTCCTCCTCCTCTTCGTCATCCTCCTCGTCATCCTCCTCGACCTCCCCCACTGCGCCGCGGGGCTGGCTTTTTATGGATGGGGGGCTCGGAGCCGTAAAGGTAGGCAGCCCTAACTATAATCCGGACGTTTATCCGCATTTATGCGACGTTGGACGTCAACGGCAGTGGCACTCGCCGAAATCCCCCCAGGCGACGACGACGATGACGACGACGGCCGAAGGGGATGGGGTATATTTTTCACGAAAATTCAGTTTAAAGGAGAATGTTGTTTTCTCTCTCTCCTTTTTTGGGGGGTGGGGGTAAAGTGTATCCCTATCAGCTACATGCCCTCCGAGTGGGTTAATTTACTCACTGAGAAAAAGTACCCTCGTCCAAGGTCATGATGACTGTACCCCCCGGTGAGTAACGTTTTTCGTGGGTGCGGTAAACTTTGTCAGTGCGAGGGATCGCGGACGGAAAAATGTACGTACACCGTACCCCGTCAACATGACGTAGTTTGTGTCGGGGAGTGCTTCTGAGACGAGACTGAGCCGAGCAGACGTTTCGTACCATGGCGGGGGGGGT